TAACAAATGCTGGCGAGGCTGTGGAGAAATAGGAACCCTTCTCCACTGCTGGTGGGAATGCAGACTGGTGAAACCACTGTGGAAATCAGTTTGGAGATTGCTCAGAAAACTAAGTCTAGAGGTCCCATTCAACCCAGATATTCCCCTTCTGGATATTTTCCCAGAAGATCTAAGAACATCATATCACAGTGATATACATGTATTTATGTTCATAGCAGCACAATTTGTAATTGCTAAAATGTGGAAGCAATCCAAATGTATATTCACTGAGGATTGGATAAGAAAATTGTGGTACTTTTATATAATGGAATATTGCACAGCTGTAAAGAAAGATAAACTCGAGGCCTCTATATTTAAATGGTCACAACTAGAGACCATACTCATAAGTGAGATAAATCACACCTGCATGTGCATGCAGCCCATTGTTTCACTTGTGTTAACCCTGAAACAGTTAATTTAAACTAGGAGGTATGATAGACATTGTTAAATGATAGAAAAACACTCAAGGGTAAAGGGCAACTGGGATGTGGGAAAAGAAAAGGGAAAGAAGGAGAAATTTTTTATGTAGATATATACAGGATAGTTAACATAGTTGTTCTACTATCTTCTGTTTCTTTGCTGAAAGAAACTGTGAATGAGTCCTTGATTGATCAATATTGCATGTCTCTATCTGTTTTCATGAGTAACAACTTTGAAGATATCAATATGTGATAAAAGAAGCATTGTTAATTTCCTACCACTTTGTTTGTAACTCTGTATTTTCTGTACTGTTGTTTTGGTATTTTTTGAAAGGTTGTCTAGTCTGTTAATGTTTCCCTCCTTTTATTTTTAAAATTAAAAATAATAAAAAAACCAAAAATTTTAAAAACTAAAAAAAGAAAAAAAAAAGATAAAAAGAAAATGGACAGTTCCAACAGTTTTTCATGATAAAATTTACAAACACTAAGAAGAGAGACTCTTTCTGTATTTAATAAAGAATTCTACAGAAAGCAGGTCTTTCACTAACAGTGCACTTACTGATGAAACACTGAATGCTTTTAAGCTAATATCAGGAACAATTGAAAATGTCTCAATCTGCCAGACAGAAAGATGGGTTAAAATGAAAGTCATTTGAATATAAGATATACTGGTTGCAACAGACTTGGAAGAGGCAGTGGAGGGTGGCTACAGGGAGGATGGAATTTCATCAGTGCATGATGAATGCAAGCAACACACTGAATCTCATAATACAGATTAAACAAAAATTGAATACAGATAAGAATTCTACAGAAATTCTCAAAAGCTATCAGCAGCAGCTAAAATTGGGTAAAATAGGAAGATTTAAGACTATATTCTTCAGGGCTGGGGATTTAGCTCAGTGGCACAGCTCTTGCCTGGCAAGCACGAGGTTGTGAGTTTGATTCCTGGTACTGGAAAAAAACAAAAAAACAAAACAAAACAAAAAAGATTATATTCTTCATAATGTCCTTTCTAACCACTCTTATTCAGCATTATAGTCAAACTGCCGGTTCAACTATTGCAATAAGGCAACAACAAAAAAAATTATGTGGTTTGGAAAGGAAAACCTTTTAAAGATAGAATTTAGGGGCCTGGGGATATAGCTCAGTAGCACAGTGCCTGCCTGGCAAGAGCAGGGTCCTGAGTTTGATTCCTGGTACCAAAAAAAAAGAGATAGAATTTAAGATAGAAAATATCACACAATACAAAAAAACCTCTGGAACTTATGAGTTCACCAAGGTTTCAGTATAAAAAGTTAACACACAAAACAAGGCATATTTCTAATATAAAATGAGAGTATGTGAAAACATGTTAAAAACATAGTTCTATCATTTATCACTTCAAAGAAAATAAGATACTTGGAGTATCCTATTTCTAGCAAAATATGTAGAGGCCTGAGTGCTGAAAAGTACAAAATGTTAACGCGAGTAACAAAGAAAAAACCTAAAGGAATGGAGAGATACACGGGGATCGTGGATCAACACACTCAACATACTAAAGATAATGATTTTTTCCAAAGTTACCTGTCAGTAGAATTCAACTCTTTTTTTTTTAATTTTAGAAATTAAAGGAGGAAAATACTAACAGACCGACAACATTTTACAAAATAGCAAAGGATCAGTACAGACATTACAGAGTTACAAACAGAGTGATAGGGAATTAACAATGCTTATTGTATTACATATTGATATCTTCAATGTAGTTTCTCATGAAAACACATATAGACATACAAAGCTAATCAACCAATGCCTCACTGACAGTTTCTTTCAGCAAGGAAATACAGGACAGTAGAACACCCTTGTTAACTATCATATATACAAACTTTGTATATATGATATACACATATATACACACACATATATACATATATACATATATATGCATACACATATATACAAACTTTCTCCTTCTTTCCCTTCTCTTTTCCCATATCCCAGTTATCCTTTACCTATGAGTGATTTCCTATCAATTCTCAATGTCTATCATATCACCTAGATTAAATTAACTCTTTCAGGCTTTACACTAGAGAAACAATGCGGTGCTTGCACATGTATGTTTGATTTATTTCGCTTATGTTCAACTCTTATCAAACTATTGGCAAGTTTCCTTGTAGACACAGACAAGTTTATTTATTTATTTTTTTCCGGTACCAGGAGTCGAACTTATGACGTTGCGCTTGCCAGACAGGCACTGTGCTGCTGATCTAAATCCCCAGCCCCCAGACAAGTTTATTCTGAATTTGTATGACAAGGCAAAGAAACAAGAATAGATGTAATTGCTGCAAAAATATGAAATAAGATTGTAAGAATCATTCTGCATTATGTTGACTCAGTATATAGATACAATAATAATGACTGTGGCACAAGAGGAAAAACAAACACAGTGATTGAATGGGATATAATTGAAAATAAGAAATAGATCCCCACACCTAGACCCATGTGATTTTTACAGCGGTGCAAAAGTGCTTCAGTGGAAGGAGAGCAACCTTCCCAAAGATACTGTTGGAAAATTTCAATACATATGGTCCTAAAAGAAAAGAGAAGAAACCTGACCTTAAATTCTTACGTTATACAACTGTTAACCTTAACTAAATCATATACTTGAATGTAAAGCATGTAACTATGCAATATTTAAGACAGAAAAACAATAGCATAGAATGTTCAGGTAAAGAACCAAAAAGTACTAACAAAAACACAATCATAAAAGAAAAAAGTAGATATATTAGCCCCTTCCAAAGGAGGAAAAATGCTCTGAAAAAGGTTTCTTTTGAATAGGAAAAGCAGGCTTCACATCATAATTCTAATAGACTAGCAGAGAGAACCTCTCGGTAAAGAAACAGTAGGTATGTTGACTGAATTGGTTGTTACACAAATGCACACATGTGATGAATTTGCATAGAGCTACACACACTCACACACACCCATACATACACACAACTAGAGCACAAAAAAGTGGAAAAATCTGTGGATTGTATCAATTTCCCATTACTATGGCTACAAGTACATACTAAATTTGTACTTATGCAAGATACTGCCATTGGGTAAAACAGGATGAAATGTACTCAAAACCTCCTCGTTTATTCTTTTTGTCAATGTCCTGTGAATTTATAGTTAGTTCATGATAAAACTGAGTTAATAAATAAATATTAAAATGTTTAAAAGTGAGTGCTTACCCGCCTGTTTGTGAAGACAGAATAACATTCCTTTACCAGCACTGTTTTGATCATGTCTGGATCTGTGATAGCTAACACAGGCTGTTGACCATCATAAAACCTGAAGGAGGAAACAGAGCTTATTAGACTTTTACTTTCAGCATTAATTTAGAAGAAAATCAACATAGACAAAAATGCCATGCATTTGTAGGAACACAATATTGAGATCTCATATAATGCACCTAAAGGGGACTACAGAAAGGAAAAATGGAGACTAAAGGAGTGGCTAAACCATGCACAGAAAGTAAGGCTAGTAGACCCTGGGCCATCAAAGCCTGGAGAAAAGTCATAACACGGAATATTCTCAATCTAATTCAGATTGTAGACTTCAACTGCTGTGATGTATTGGAGCCTTGGGCAGACACACCTCCAAAAATCTTAGAGAGCTACATCCCAAGAACTCTAGACATTGTTCTCAAACAGTGGTTACTTCACCTTAACTAAAGTAACCTAATGCAAGTTTCCACAATACTCACCCCCATATTTTCCCATATTTTTTATAACATTTTGTGTCAAAATCCCAAAAACCCTGGGAAGAGAAAAAAGTTCCATTATTGTTCTAAATGTACTGGCCATATCTCTAATAGACACAAATGACTGGAATCTCAGTAATTCAGGCTTAATACCCCTCACTGGAAGTTAGAGCAAAGATTGTATCCAGAGACATCTAAAGGAAAAGAACATCTCCTTGTTTATCAATACTAAGGGATTCCTTCTCCTTTATCAGTGTTCCTGTTCTGTTTGTGGTCTCTGAAATGCTGAAACCTCTGCTTTATTTCCTCTGTGGGCATGTGATGAAACCAAAGCTGAGGAAAGTGAGTTTCCCAGGAACATGCAAGCTCTTTTAGCTCCTCATTCAGCATCCTTTTCATTGATCTTATAAACTCTTTTTGGATTTCTAGCTTATGTAGGATTTTGAAAACACTAGTGACATCTTTCATCAAGCAAATTATGTCTGTCATGTTGTTGAGCACAAACATGAGCTAATGAAGACAAAGTAGACTATCCTAGAACTCCCACTCAATTCAGACTTTTGGGGAGATTCCACCTCTACACAGAGACACAGCAAATTAAATACAAGCTCTGAGTTTTTACTTCTGAAACTTAAAAACAAATATTCTTGTTTCTAGTTTCAGTTGTGATGTTTTAGCTATATAAAAAGTTCTCTGAGGTCTTTATGTACCTTCCTGGAATCTGAATGGGGCAAAAAATATCACAGTCTTAATATGTAGCCCTCCCCATGGAGTAGTGATGTGCAAGAGAGCTGATCTGATCAACTGCAGCAAACCTGGGCTCCAAAGGTTGCAATCAGAGTCTTGGGAAAAACCTGCCCATGCTCTAAGTCAGGCCCACATAACACTTTGGAAGATGAATATGTCAGAACTTCCTGGTAAGGGGGCGATTTTTTACTAATGGGACTAAGCTAGTCTTCAGAATCACAAAAGATAAAAGAGGGAAAACAAACAGTACTCACTCTGCGGTAACCCAGAATAGTTCCAAAAAAGGGGAGAGGTTTTGGCCCAGGAATTCCCAACTTCCTAAAAAGGCCATGTGAAGAGGTCCCATATCTACAAGGCAATAGAGAAAGTCAGGTACAGGAATAGTGACTGTATGTATTTATGGGTTACTAGTCACTGACTCTAGAACAGAAAGTCAAGCAAGGAAGATAACATGCAATAAATAAATAATAAAAACTCCAACAGCTATAATTACAGTTGCTCATTACCTTCTCTCTCACATCACCTGAAAAATCCCCCAAATCACAAAGATTAGCTAAAAGTAGGTGATACTCTTGGGCTCCCTATGTAAGAGTGAGTACTTGATAAAAATCTACAAGCTTGAGTTTGAGTGTTCCTGAGAAATCCAGGCTAGAATTTTTCAGTGTCATTCCAGTCACTTGTGTTGACTTAGGAAGTAGATGTGATGCCAACACATCTACTCTCTAGTGACTTTCAGCAGGGACTGATACACATGTGTGTCTCTAGGAGTAATGCCTGGAGTGGAGAGGAATGTTTTCTTGTTTGCTTCTAACTCCTACCTAAGTATCTTCTATTTCATCACTGGCTTACACTTTTCTTTACAATGAGAGATTAAGATAACTTGGTGGTCAGGTAAATAAACTGTTACACAGGTACATGTAAAAGCATCTATGTAGTCAGTGTCATAAACATAGATGTTTACACATTAGATTTATGTTCTTGGCATTATTCTAAAAAGATGAGATCATTTTAAACTTGCCTCTGGTCGCAAAAACTGGACCCAAGAGCCCTATTCTGACTTTCTGAAGGAACATGATGTGCAAGTGGTGATCAAAATATGTCATGAATGTTTACATGTTTTTAAAAATTTTTATGTTAAAAGACGTATTGGCATTAATACTCCTCAAAATACTTCTCTGCCTTTGAGCCTAGTTATCCCATTGTTATTGCCATGTTCTAAAGCAGTTCTGGAGTCCTCTTTCATGCATGTTTTTAGTTGTGCTCTTATGGTTTCCTTGATACCCTGAGTTGATTAAAAATGATCATCTTTTGTTGTCATTTTAACTCTAGGGAAAAGCTAAAAAAGGCACAGTGTTGGATCAGGTGGATAAGGTGGCCAAGGGACATACTGAATGTTTTTGTTTGACAGAAATTACCATTAATATTTTGAATTGATTCAAGACATTGGGATACCCACCAAAAGATACAAAAAAGGACTTCCAAAACTTCTTTAAAACATGTCAAGAAAAATGGAGTAAATGTGTTTGAAATGACAGAAAGTACTTTGAGGGCAATGAATGCCCATATATCTTTTACAATGATAAATATTTTAAGACTTTAATCATTCACAATATTCTAAAATCAAAATGAGTACTTATCTCAAAGAAAATTTAGTATCTATTAGAATGGTGTCACAACAACTTAATTAACTATAAGGTATTATTACATGGCAAATATATTGACCTAAACTTCTAACTTTCTCTTCAAAGATTCATACCAGATTGTGCTTCCTATTTTCACATTATCGTGAATATCTCCTGTTTATAAATTTAACATTGAGATAGAAATCAAATGTGACATGAGAGGAACTTCTCCTACCAAAATAACAAGGATTTCTCTCCACCTACTCTATGGTACCTGGAATTCCACCATGGATGGGAACTTCTCTATTAGATAGTTTTGATTCATGCTTTATACTAGAATTTAAAAGGAAAATTATTTTTAATGCAAGTTGGCTTGGGGACTGTTGCATTTTGAGGCTGTCAGTAAATTTTTATATTAGGGAAGAATTATACCTCTGCCCTGATGGTAAGCACCCAGGGACAGAAAGAAAAAGTTAAAGGGAAGTAAGAAAAGTTCAAGATATCTGGTAGTTCTTCTCTGCTCAAGAGTCATCATTTACAGTTAAGGAGTTCTGTATATTGCATAGTACAGTAATTGAGTTGTAGAAGGAAGGGATTGCTATGGACAGTAATAGAAGAGGGGCAAATGTGACATGGGAGGAACTATGAACCTGTCAGGGGTGATCTTGGAGAACTGTGCAAGTTGTGCTGGGGATGATACAGAAGGCACAGGAACAACCTATGTCAACAAGGGGCTATCATCCTGCACATCTCTGAGCAGACAGAGAGCAAAAAGGTAATGGCACAAAAACTGATGAAGAAATGTCTTATCCTCAAATCCTGAGCAGTTGTGTAAGGGTGTATCCCACTGACATGGTGACATGTAATCTATCTTTGCTAAATTCTGGTTGAATAGTCTAGCCCCAAATTGTGACTCAATCAGATCATTCCCCACAGCAAGTGATGTTATTAAAATTTCTGGACCATAGAAATTGGGAGTTTGTTGGGAGACAAGTGCTTATTAATTCCTTTAAAGGAGTTGCATAAGATTGTAATCATCCTTTAGATTTTGGTAACATCCAACTCTTAAACAAATGCCCCGTCACTTTCATTTTTGATCTAACCAGACAAGAGAATGAGCAGCCTGACTTGAAACCCAAGTCATAGGTTACAGAGGAAAAGGGCCTGGAGAGTTACTCACAGATAGAGGAGCACCAAACTGGCAGCCAGGAGAACCCAGGTTTCCATGGAATAGTTTGGAATCAGGTCCATTACCAATTTCCTTCAGTGGTTCTCTCCTCTGAGATTTCCTTTCAGTTGATTGTATGGCACTTTGTAGGGTTGTGCCCGCAGAGCTCCCTTCCCTGTTCAGCTGAGATTCAGTGAGACCAGTCGGGAATGTTTATGTGGGAAGGAGGTGGGACTGGATGTGCAGCCAGTAGTAGGGCCATCTGTGCCCCACCCCAAGTACAAAGTCTAGTGGCTTCTCCACCTTGGCAATCGGCAGGGTCATGAATGTGCCTGTTTTTGTCTCTGAGCCATAGTTTGTGGAAAATCAATAAAAGTTCAATCCTATCATTAGGTCCAAAGATCTTTTCTTCTTGTCAGAAGCCATTGGCATTGCATCACTTGTACCCTGTCCTTGTATCTAGGGCCACCTTTATGCTGAATACTTGAGAAACACCCAAACAAGGAATATATATATATATATCCAGTTCCTTTGCCTAAACTCCCCTTTGCATGGAAGATTCTTATTCATCCTTCAAAATCCAAAAATTTCAGTTAAAACTTCATCCTCTGTGTCTTTTCTTACTAACCCAGATGGAAGCATTTTCTATCTTTCTTGTTCTATCTGTCTTTTCTATCTTACCCCAGATAGAAGCATTTCCTCCTCTGCTATCTGCAGCACAGAGCATTATTGTTGTTTCTACTTTTCAGCAATATAGTTTGTTTCCATGGTTGTTTGCCTTTACAAGATCATAAGCTTCTCCAGGGCATAGTAGGGATATTATTCATCATTATGCTTCTAGGACTTTCAGAGTACTTTACAGAGTTGGCTTCTAGAAAATTTGCTTGAGCTAGGATAGATTGCTGGGCTTCTGTATGGCCTTTCTCTGTGAATCAGTGATAGTGATCAGTTCAGGCTGCTGCACATACAGCCCTTCAGAGAGTCTTCTAGTAAATAACAAGTTATACATTAACTTTCTCAGAAAAGTCTGCATGTCAAAGATCACTGGGCATGAAAGGACAGAAGAGAACACGAGCTTGCTTGGAAAGGTAGATCCCAAACACATTAACTACAAATGTCATGGGTGCTGTTTCCACCGACAGTACACACAATAAGTATGGTCTCTGGTTGCATTCATTTACATATAAAAGCCTTGAGTGTATCTTTCTTTATAGCTGAGTAATATTCCATTGTATAAAAATACATTTTTAATTTTTTTTTAATTTTTATTTTATTTTATTTTTATTTTAAAGATAAAAGGAGGGAAACATTAACAGACATACAACATTTTACAACATA